CGGTACACACCAGGGGTGTTCCCCCGGTACACACCGTGGTTTTACCAGGTACAGCCCCGTGGTGTTACCCAGGTTCACAACAGGGTTTTATTCTGGTACAAAACCCCAGTGGTGTTCCCGGTACGCACCAGTGTGTTTACCCTGGTAAGCCCAGTGGTGTTCCCGGGTACAGCACCATGGGGAAACCCGGTCAGCCCCCTGGTTTTACCCAGTACAGAACAGGTTTGTTACCCTGGTACAGCACAGGGGTTTACCCACCCCGGGGTGTACCCGGTAAGCACCAGTGGTGTTACCCGGGTACAGCCCATTTTTACCCCAGGTCGCACCAGTGGTGTTACCCAGGACAACCAGTGGTGTTCCCCAAAGTACAGTACCAGTGGTTTTTCCCAGAACAGCACCGTTTTTTTTACCCAGGTAAAGTACCGGGGGTGTTTCCGGGTACAGCACCAGTGGTGTTCCCCAGGTACAGTACCGTGTGTTACCCCGGACAGCAAACAGTGGTGTTACCCGGTCAGACCAGTGGTGTTACCCAGTACAGCACCAGTGGTGTTACCGGGTACAGTCCCGTGGTTTTTCCCGGGTACGCCCAGGGTTTTTTACCCAGGTACACCCAGTGGTGTTACCCAGGTACAGACCATGTTGTTACCCAGGTACGCCCCCTTATGTTACCCGGGTACAGCACCTTGGGTTTTACCCCCCCCCCCCCCCCCCCCAGCATTCCTGTTTTCCCCAGGCCAAAACGGGGTGTTCCCCCCCGGGTTTACCCATTTACCCTGGGCCCGGTAAGACAGGGGTTTTTAGGCCGACCATGTTTCCCTACCCCCGGGGTTTTCCCCGGGTAAAAACCCCGGGGTTTCCCCGGGTACCCCCTTTTTTACCCTCGCAAAAGTGACCATTAAAACCCAGTGGTTTACCCAGGTCCCCCAAGTGGGTTCCCTAGGTACAGCACCAGTGGTGTTACCCGGTACCCCCCCGTGGTGTTACCAGGTAAGCCCCGTGTTTTTTCCCCAGACAGCACCCGTGTGTTACCCTTTTCAACACCAGTGGGTTCCCTAGGTACAGACCAGGGGTTTTTCCTGGGTACAGCCCAGTGGTGTTACCTAGGTACACACCGGGTGTTACCAGGTACACCCCGTGGGGTTCCCGGGTACACCCCCAGTGGTGTTACCCGGTACAATTAAAAACTGCAGGCCTCCGTACATGTACACAACAATGTTTTCCCCGTAACATGACACAACAGTTTGAAACCTCCGAAACACGTACAAAAAGGGTATTCTCCGAAAACATGTACCAACAGTGTGTATCCCCGCAACACTGTTCACAACAGTACCCTCCGTAAAATGACAAAAAACAGTGTGCATCCCCCAAAACACTGTAACGGTGGGGTGTCCCCCGTAAACTGTACACAACAGTGGTATCCTCCGTAACCGGGAACAACAGTGTGTTTTCTCCGTAACACTGTACACAACAGTGTGTTTCCAAACACTGTAAAAAATGTGTACCCCCTAACCGTACACAACATGTGTACCCTCCGTAACACTGTACACAACAGTGTATACCTCCGTAACCTGTACACAACAGTGTTTTTCCTCCGTAACATGTACCAGCGTGGTCCTCCGTAACACTGTCCCAAAAACATGTGTACCCTCCGTAACCGTCACAAGAGTGGTATTTTCGTAACACTGTTCCAACAGGGGTTATCCCCCGAAACACTGTACACAACTGTGTATCCTCCGTAACACTGTACACAACAGTGTGATCCCCCGTAAATGTACAAAACAGTGTATATCCTCCCGAAACCCAATGTCCAACATGTGTACCCCGTAACACTTACCAACAGTGTTTATCCTCCAAAAACATTACCAACATGTTATCTCCGTAACACTGTACACAACAGTGTGTATCCCCCGTAACATTTTAAACACAACGTGTATACCCTCCGTAACACTGTACAAAAAATGTATATCCTCCGAAACACTGTACAAAAACTTTTTATACCTCCGTAACACTGTAACAACAGTGGTATCCTCCGTAACACTGTACAAAAAATGTATTCCCCGTAAACGGGCCCAAACAATTGTATCCTCCGTAACATTAAAAAGGATATCCCCTAACACTGTAACAACAGTGTATATCCTCCGTAACACTGTACACAAAGTGATATCCTCCGTAACACTGTAGCAAAGTGTATTCCTCCGTCATGTACAAAACAGGTATATCCCCCGAAAAACACTGTAACAACAGGTGTATCCTCCGTAACACTGAAACCAACGTGTATATCCCCGTAACACTGTACACAGCAGTGTTTATCCCGTAAAAATGTACACAACATGTGTACCTCCGAAAACATGTACAAAACTGTATATCCCCGTAACCTGTACACAACATGATACCCTCCGTAACCTGTCCCAAAACCCGTGTAATCCCCCGTAACTGTACACAACAGTGTGTACCCCTCCGAAAACACGTACACAACAGTGAATTCCCCGTAACATGTACACCAGTGTGTATCCCCGTAACCTGTAAAAACAAACAGTGTGTACCTCCGTAACACTGACAAAACAGTGGTTTTTCCCGAACATGTACAAAACGTGTGTACCTCCCGTAACAATGTACACAACAGGGATCCTCCGTAACATGTACACAACAGTGTATATCCCGTAACACTGTAAAAAACCGTGTAACCCCCCGTAACACTGTAAAAACAGTGTGTATCCTCCGAAAACACTTACACAACATGTAATCCCCCGTAACACTGTCACACAGTGTGTATTTCCCCCGTAACCTGTACAAACAGTGTGTATCCTCCGTAACACTGTACAAACGTGTGTATTTCCGTAACATGTAAAAAAACGGTGTTATCCCCCGAAACACTGTACACAACAGTGTGTATCCTCCGTAACACTGTACACAACAGTGTGTATCCTCCGTAACACTGTACACAACAGTGTGTATCCTCCGTAACACTGTACACAACAGTGTGTATCCTCCGTAACACTGTACACAACATGTTTTTATTCCCCTCGTAACACTGTACAAAACAGTGTGTACCCCGTAACACTGTACACAAAGTTTTAAATCCTCCGTAGCACTGTCCCAAAAACAGTGTATACCCTCCGTAACACGTAAAAAACAGTGTATATCCCCCTAACACTGTACCAAATGATATCCTCCGTAACACTGTACACAAAGTGGTACCCCTCCGTAACATGTACACAACAGGTATATCCTCCGAAAACACTGTACACAACGTGGATCCTCCGTAACATGTACACAACAGTGTAAAATCCCCCGTAAATGTACACAACAGTGAATCCTCCGTAACACTGTACACAACAGTGTATATCCTCCGTAACACTGTACACAACAGTGTATATCCTCCGTAACACTGTACACAACAGTGTATATCCTCCGTAACACTGTACACAACAGTGTGTATCCTCCGTAACACTGTACACAACAGTGTATATCCTCCGTAACACTGTACACAGCAGTGTGTATCCTCCGTAACACTGTACACAACAGTGTGTATCCTCCGTAACACTGTACACAACAGTGTATATCCTCCGTAACACTGTACAAACTGTATATCCCCGTAACACGTACAAACCGTGTATACCTCCGTAAATGTACAAAAAACAGTGTGTATCCTCCGAAAACACTGTAAAAAACAGTGTATATCCCGTAACACTGTAAACTCATTTGGTTCCTCCGTAACACTGTACACAACAGTGTGTATCCTCCGTAACACTGTACACAACAGTGTGTATTCTCCGTAACACTGTACACAACAGTGTGTATCCTCCGTAACACTGTACACAACAGTGTGTATCCCCCGAAACATTAACAACAGTGTATATCCCCCGTAACACGTACAAAAACCGTTTTTAATCCCCAACACTGTACACAACAGTGTGTATCCCCCCGTAACACTGTACAAACAGTGAATCCTCGTAACACTGTACACAGCAGTGTGTATCCCCCGTAACACTGTCAAGCGGTGTTCCTCCGTAAATGTAAAAAAAACAGTGTGTATTCTCCGTAACACTGTACACAACGGTGTATCCTCCGTAACATGTACACACAGTGTGTATCCTCCGAAACACTGACACAACGGTGTTCCCCCGAAAACCTGTACACAAACAGGTATTCCCGTAACACTGTACACAACAGTGTGTACCCCCGTAACACTGTACAAAAAACAGTGTATATCCCCCGTAACACGTACACAACATGTGTTCCTCCTAAACACTGTACACAACAGTGTAATCCTCCGTAAACACTGTAAAACAGTGTTTTCCCTCCGTAACACGTACAAACAGTTATACCCCTCCGTACACTGTACACAACGTGTATATTCCTTAGCACTGTACAAAAACAGTGTTTATCCCCGTAACATGTACCAACAGTGTTATCCTCCGAAACACGATTAAAACAAATCTTTGGTGAAATTTTGAAAGTATTGAAAATTTTGTTTTTTGTTGTTGTTTTTGGGTTGTTGTTGTTGTTATTTTTTGTTGTTGTTGCTAAGGGAGGTGGTGGTAGGGTTTTATTGAGGTTTAGGGTGGTAACAGTGGAGATGGTGTTTGTGTACGTGTTAGAGATGGTGTTTGTGTACGTGTTAGAGATGGAGTTCTATCAGTGATGTTCATGGTAACAGGAAGAGTGCTATGATTTGCCTTGCTGGAGACGAGAGATTTTGGTGGAGATGAAGGTGGTAGTGGTGGTGGTGATGGTGGTAGTGGTGGTGATGACAGTGGTGAGGATAGCAGAAGCTACGGTGTTAGTGGCTGTGGTAGAAGTTTTGTGCTAAAAGTGGCAGTGTTGGTACGAGGGAGAGTGGTACAAGGAAGAGTGGTACAATAGTGGTACAATAGTGGTATAATAAAGACTTACAAATGGTACAAGAAAGACTGTTACAAAAAAGAGTGGTACAAAAAGAATGGTTAAAAATAAAAGACTAGTACAAGAGTGGTATAAGTAAGCCTGGTAGTACTCACCTTGGTGAAGACGAGAGGTTTTGGTGTGTGTGTTGTGGTGTGAGCAGTAGCATGGTGGGTGTCCATTGTAAGGGCGGGGCGGTGGAGGAAGAGAAGAAGGCAGCCAGGAACACTTAGTGTGTTGCTCCGCCATCTAGGTTCTTACCTCCCTCACCCCGCACTCACCACCACCACCACAGCTGAAACATACAAACAAATGCTATTGTTTTTAACCTTCAAACTCTATCGATTGTACGTGGGCCATTAAGGCTGTAATTCAATATTACTCTAATATTTATAACAATGATTAAAGTAAATTCTCAGTGTATATACACAGAGATAGGGAGGTAAAAGCTAGCTCTAGGCCCTTCGTGTTGCAATCAACATATCATCAGGATTTCATCCATTTTTCTGCAACATTGTAAGCTCCTGATGCTGTGTTCATTGCAACACGAAAGGCCCAGAGCTATGTTTTACCTCGACCCTCCTTGTGTCGCCTCTTACATTGCTTGTTCTCAGAGCTCCAGTAATATACCTTTTATTATTATTTAATATTCTGATTAGAATTAAAGTCTGAAATATTGTATAAAGTAATAATAATAATAATAATAATAATAATAATAATAATAAAAATAATAATAATATATAATAATAATAATAATAATAATAATAATAATAATAAAATAATAATAATAATAATAATAAAAATAATAATAATAATAATAATAATAATAATAATAATAATAATAATAATAATAATAATAATAATAATAATAATAATAATAAAAATAATAATAATAATAATAATAATAATAATAATAATAATAATAATAATAATAATAATAATAATAATAAAAAATAATAATAATAATAATAATAATAATAATAATAATAATAAAAATAATAATAATAATAATAATAAAAATAATAATAATAATAATAATAATAATAATAATAATAATAATAATAATAATAATAATAATAATAATATAGTATATTCACAAAACTTTAACATGTAGTTAATAAACTGAAGATTCAACCTAATTAAGTTGTTTAAAGTGGATAAACTACAAGACGGATAATGTTATGTAAAATTCCTAAAAAAATACAAACTATACCGAACACATGAAATTTTTGTTAAAAAAAATACAATGATTAACAATGAAGAATTTGATTTTTACGACCTATTAACCTTTGATTCCCAGTAATATATATATATATATATATATATATATATATATATATATATATATATATATATATATATATATATATATATATATATATATATATATATATATATATATATATATATATATATATATATATATATATATATATATATATATATATATATATATATATATATATATATATAGTTGAGGTACCACCTCTAGAACTGTCCTGGGGACCCTCATCCTCAGAGAAAAGAATAAACTTACTTCAGGGAAAACTCAAGGTTCTCCCTGAAACTGAGAATTTTCTCCTACCACCCCTTATATTTCAAGTATGTTTTATTTAATGACAAAATACATTGGCCAAACATTCACAAAAATACAACAGAGAGTAAAACAACATAGGTAACTCAGAGCTACATCTCGAATACTTCGTCCAGCTCCCCTGCGGTGGGCCGCGTGCCCAGAATGCTGCAGGTATTTCCTCTCTGGATCGCAACACTGAGTCTCTGAAAGAGGAAGCTGGTCGCCCTGTGGTCTTTAGTTTCTATGATGAGCTTTTCACCCAGCTCTTTGAAGAACTTTAGAGCACACTTGCCCCATGCTTCAAGGGTCTCCGACCTATTGGGATGAAGTTATAGCAAGGGGGAAGGTCTTCATATTTTCGGATCTTCTGGGTCTCCCTGTGGCTGGCAGCTCCACCCCCTTCCACTACGGAGTATGGCAAGTAGGTGTCTGCCAATGTGGCGGCACAGGTGTAGTCCCAGGCAATCTGCTTTCCATCCTTCCAGGGTAGCATAGTGGCTCCATCAGGACGCTTTTGACTTCCATCAGACCTCTGCAGATGTGATGAATGGTTTAGAAAACCGACAAGTTGAAGAATTGAGACACTTATGCAACACATGGGACTCTTTATTGAAGAAACGTTTCGCCACACAGTGGCTTCATCAGTCCAATACAAAGTAGAAATGGGTAAGGAGAGGAGAAGTTTGAGGTAATCAGTCCCTCAACCTGGAATCGATGTGTTCAGTCCATCACTCTTGTAGGAAAAATCGATTCCAGATTGAGGGACTGATTACCTCAAACTTCTCCTCTCCTTACCCATTTCTACTTTGTATTGGACTGATGAAGCCACTGTGTGGCGAAACGTTTCTTCAATAAAGAGTCCCATGTGTTGCATAAGTGTCTCAATTCTTCAGACCTCTGCACTTGGGGTTCCCGTTGAGCTGGGCAACAGGCTGTGGCGAGGCTTCTCTTTATGAGATATATATATATATATATATATATATATATATATATATATATATATATATATATATATATATATATATATATATATATATATATATATATATATATATATATATATATATATATATATATATATATATATATATATATATATATATATATATATATATGAGACTATGAGGCCATCAAAAATCGGTCTTATTTCTGTCTACACTATAGGTGTTGTGAAGCTGCCAGTCACAGTGAGGGATTCTTGGTGAATAGAACTGAATCTTACCCAACTGGATGAGCAAGATGCAACAAATAATTCATTATTAGTGTACAATAAGGACTACGTTGTTGAATAAAACACGTGAAGTACCTGGGTATCTTTACTGACCACAGGACTCGCCTGGGCATCACAGGTGATACCCAAGTGTTGTACACTTGTTTTATTCACCAATATACAAGGTAGTTGGAGTGTGGATGTGAGCCTACAAGTGTTGGGAAGATACTCATCTAGCAAACACAAGTTTATTGTTACACTATCCCACCTACAAGAGTCTCTATAAAGAAGTTGCTGAAGACTCATAGACGTTTTCCAGCCAAACATTAACGTTATGACCTGAGTGTCCCTGATGAGTGTCCCTGTTAAGTGAAACTCATTCATCTCTGTTATGGTGTGTTCGTCCTGTACTCGACGCAGATCTTACGAAACCACGATCCTGCATGTCATCTTAACCAGCTAGAAGCACGGCTTCTAGGGTCACTCCATCACCGTAGTTGCAGAGTAGTTAACTAAGTGAGGTCTCATAGGAAGGTCTGTGACCTGGGATAGATTACCTAACTTCTAGAATCACCTCAGTCCACTAGGCTCTCTAGTACCTATGGTTGGTTAGGTTCTTAAGACTCGTGACCGAACACTAAGACGTAATTTATTAGATAACGTTTGTGTCAGTTTACTGATATGTCCTAGTGTTGTCTCTCGCGTCTTTCTGAACTAACACTCAGTATCACTTACCAAGGTTTTCACTAAATTTTCTGACTGGTTTACCATACTGAGACCAGTCTGTCTGTATGGCTGTGTTATGGCTGTTGTAACAGAGTGGGCTTTCACTTTCACTCTCCAAAACACTATTCACTGCAGGGTTAAACTTTTCCATGTACTCGGTACATAGATGCATACAAATGTACCGATGATCTGGTGGTATAGAATATAGTGAACCAAAAATATTACATGTATACTAGTCTCCTCAGTTATTATTGTTATATGCGCTAATAGCTAGTTAATAGCTGGTTAATAGCTAGTTAATAGCTAGTTAAAAGCTAGTTAATAGCTAGTTAATAGCTCAAGAACATAAGAACATAAGAAAGAAAGAACACTGCATCAGGCCTACTGACCCATGCGAAGCAAGTCCATGTCCCCCCCACCGGATTAGCCCAATGACCCACCCAGTCTGGTCACCTCCACTCAAGGAAGGAGCATGGAACCAGACTCAGCAGCACAAGCTAGTCAGGTCCAACTCACACCCACCCACACCCACTCATGTATTTATCTAACCTATTTTTAAAACTACACAACGTTTTAGCCTCAATAACTGTACTCGGGAGTTTGTTCCACTCATCCACAACTCTATTACCAAACCAGTGCTTTCCTTTATCCTTCCTGAATCTGAATTTTTCCAGCTTGAAACCATTGCTGCGAGTCCTGTCTTGGCTGGAAATTTTCAGCTCACTATTTACATCCCCTTTATTTATTCCTGTTTTCCATTTATACACCTCGATCATATCCCCCCTAATTCTACGCCTTTCGAGAGAGTGCAGATTCAGGGCCCTCAGTCTATCCTCATAGGGAAGATTTCTGATAAATGGGATCATCTTTGTCATCCTCCTCTGTACGTTTTCCAGAGCATTTATATCCATTCTACATCCATCTATGCATCTATTTATATCCATTTATATCCATCTATGCTGCTCAGTTCTGTGGCCAGAACTGAACAGCATAGTCTAAATGAGGCCTAACCAAGGATATATAGAGTTGAAGAACAACCTGAGGACTTCTATTATTTATACTTCTAGATATGAAGCCAAGAATTCTGTTAGCTTTATTGCGAACACAAATGCACTATTGTCTTGGTTTTAGATTACTGCTAACCAGAACTCCTAAATCCTTTTCGCAATCAGTAGTATTAAGATCTACATTATTTAGTTTATATGTGGCATGGTTATTTTCCTGTCCAACATTTAGAACTTTGTATTTGTCTATATTAAACTGCATCTGCCATTTCTCCGACCATTGCATCAGTCTATTCAAATCATCCTGGAGTGCTCTAGTGTCCTCATTAGAATGAATTGGACGGCCTATTTTGGTGTCATCAGCAAATTTGCTTATGTCGCTATTTATTCCCTCATCTATGTCGTTTATGTAAATTGTGAACAACAACGGGCCCAACACTGACCCCTGAGAAACACCGCTTGTGACGTGACCCCATTCTGATTTCTCCCCATTTATGCAAACTCTCTGCTGCCTATTTATCAACATGCCTCTACCCCTACCCAGGAAAAAATTTCTCCTCCTATTCTGTGTGCCCTAAGTTTCCTCAATAGCCTCTGATGTGGAACTCTATCGAAAGCCTTACTGAAGTCCATATACACAATATCATAATCATTACCATGATCTACCTCCTCAAACACCTTTGTGAAAAAAGTTAGTAAATTCGTAAGACAGGAACGCCCCTTTGTAAAACCGTGTTGAGATTCATTAATCAATCTGTACCTATCAAGATGGCTAC